GGCTATCAGACACAGCAAATAGAAATATGCATGATACCCAATGCGATTTGCATTTCAGACACTTTTTTTTTTTTTTCAGCATAAGTACATTCCAAATACTACTTTAAAATATTTCTGCTTTATCTTAAATGTAAACTTAACCGGCATCATGCATTTCATCTCATGTCCGGTGAGCAGGTGAGAATGGTCCCTCCAAGCCTGTCTCTCCCTATCTCTCTCCCTCCTCCCCCCTTCAGCGTGTCCATCAGAAGCTGTGAGAGCCCTGGTCCTCCAGGATAGCATCTGTGCGTCTTTCAGGAAAAGGCAGGGGAAGGAAATGTCTGGAAATGAGGCTTGTTTTCTAGATCAACTCAATATGGGCGTGGAGACTTAAGAAGGTGTGCAGGGCATGAATTCTAAGTCGCCGCTGACAGTGACATGGACCAGGGTAGACAACCTTGGCTGGGCAAACTCAAGTTCGCCAAGCAGCTCTCACTCGGAACTCCCACGGGTCTCACCTGGAAGCCAGGGCAAGGTCCTGACCTGACAGCCAGGGCTTCCTGAGCACCTGCTGTAGGCAGCCCCTCACCCCCTCTCCAGGGCAGGGGGACTTGTCGATGGCATCTTGTTTAGTGTTACGCCAGCGCTGTGAGGGGTGCTGACCCCACCGACTGACAGATTGAGGCAGAGAAGACAAGGTCATGAGTGGTGGAGCTGAATCTGATGCAGGTCCGCCTGGGCCCTACCACAGCATCATGCTGTATAGAGTGCAAGGGAGGCAGGAGGGTCACAAGCTGATGGATGACTGATGTTTTGTGGGTACCTGTTGAGCAGTCCTGTTTAAGTTCAAATCGTTCTCATGGCCATGCTACCTGCATCTTCCCGTCTGTTCACCTGCATCAATCTTGACTCCTCCAAGGCCCTTCTCAAACCCTAAGTCTGCTTCCTCCCAATCGTTATTTTGTTAGTAAGCTCGGTCTTCTAAGTATTCATCTTACCCTTATTCACAGCACAGGTATTTCAAATGTGGGGAAATAATGTTTGTTTGTTTGTTTTTGTATCAATCTGGTAACTGCTGTGGCCGTTGAAATTCAAAGACTCTCCTCCTTCGCTACTTAATGGCACCGATTTGCTGGCTTTCCCCTCCTTCCCTGCTTGGAGTTCAGCTGTCTGAGGGAAAGGACCAAGCAGGGCTATAAAAATGTGATTGTGCGGCCACCACGCGTTCCCACACTCAGATGGTTATAACCTGATGCGGGACATTCCCACGCTAACCACCTCCTGCTGTTTGTATCTCATAAAGCCACTCAAAGCAGCCTGCTCGGCGTCCATATACATCACCGCCTTTATGGCTTCCGTGTCATCATAAAAGGCAGTTCATCAGAAGCTTAGAGTTTGTTATTTGGGTGCTTTCTTATTTTTTTCCAATAGAAAAATAGCCAACTTGGAATAAGACATTCTTGGCTCATTCCTCTGCCTTCTAACTCTGTCCCGTGCAACCCGTCCATGTTCCTCCAAGCTGCCAGGCTCTGTTCCCCAGGAAGCTATATAGAAGGCCTCACCCTCTTCAACCTTCACCGGCTCCAGGTCAAGTTCATTCATTCATTGGGAGGCCCTCCACTCTGAGCCTGGCATTAAAAGATCTCCAGGATCTAACCAAAACCAGTTTGGCTCAGTGGATAGAGCATCGGTCTGCAGACTGAAAGGTCCCAGGTTTGATTCTAGTCAAGGGCATGTACATTGGTTGCGGCACATCCCCAGTGGGGGATGTGCAGGAGGCAGCTGATCGATGTTTCTTCCTCATCGATGTTTCTAGCTCTCTATCCCCTATCCTTCTCTCTTCCTCTTTGTAAAAAATCAATAAAATATATTTTTTTTGAAAATGATGTCCAGGATCTGGCCTCACAACTCACCCATGTGAGACAGAACACTTTGTTGAGGATTTAGGGTTTGATGCACAATCCTCCTTGCCCTCCATTGCTGGGCAGCCCTTCTGCCTGGCGTGTCCCCATCAGTTTCATTCTTTTTCAAACATAAAAACCCAGCTTTCTGCCCCGTGTTTCCAGGAACTCTTCCCTGGGTTCCCCGCTCCTGACTCTTAGAACACACTGCTGCCTCTTTGCTGTCAGCACAGCCAACGTCAGCCAGTCACGTGATCTTGGTTGTATATGTGCATTCTCACTTGTGTGAACCTCCAAATCTAGATCCAAAGTTCCCCGGAATTGGGAAATGGGTCATTTTCTTTGTCCTGCCTGATGCACACTATGTCCATGATACGTTAGAAAACTCAACAGATCCCTCCTTTTACACAGGTTCCCCGACTTGGCCATGGTCACCTGTAAGTTCACATAGCTCACCAGAAGCCCTGCAGTGCACCTTTAAGGATTGAGAAAGAGCAAGATGGATCGATGGATATATGCATGCAAGGTAAGGAGTTATCTGTCAAACTCTTAAGGGCAGAGTAACACCTGATAATAGGGAAATGATAATGAATACATCTAGTTCAATGGTGGGCAAACTCATTAATCAGTAGAACAGCAAGCCGCATGTGGCTAGAGAGACACAGTTTGCCGACCACTGGTCTAGCTGGTAGAGGTGGAAGTGCTCTGACCCACCAGACTCAGCTAAAGATGCCCAAAGAGACCTTGGCAGGGCAGCCAGATAGGTTCTGGGGGAAAGACATTCGATGATTCAATGTTGGCAACATTAGAATCCAGTGGTTACAAAGGTATGTGTTGAATCAAGAACCTGGTTGCCCCTGTCCAGCTAATCCTCTCCTCCCGCTTCAGGGGTTTGCCCTTCAGACCCCAAACCCACTTCAGCTGCAAGGACTGATAGACAGTAAATGACATACATTATGACATGTCCATTAGTTATCATTATTTACATCACTGTGGCGTCTCTCACATGGACAGATCACCTGACAGGTGACTATCCCGGACTCTGATAATAACTAGTGACAGAACTTAAAACCAACCCCAGAAGCCCTTACACTTCTCAGACTATTCTGATTCCTCAAAGTAGTAGTAGGCAAACTGCGGCTCTGTTGACTGAGTTTGCCGACCACTGCCTTAGGGAAAAACACTTAAAAAACATTTTACTAATGTACTAATGTCTTTAATCTGAAGCCAATACTTCTGGATAAGGGTAATGCCTTATACAGTGGTCGGCAAACTCATTAGTCAACAGAGCGGCAAAGGGCAGGCCGCTAAAGGTCCCTCATCTGATAAGGTTAGTAACTTTGTTCAGTTCATGTCAACCAACAGTGGTTGCTACTGGATGGTTGACCCAGAGTCACACACAGAGGTTATGAAAGATGTGGCCCCTTGTCCCCAGGGCACTCTCAGCCTAGGTCAGTGGTCGGCAAGCTCATTAGCCAACAGAGTCAAATATCAACAGTACAACGATTGAAATTTCTTTGGAGAGCCAAACTTTTTAAACTTCTTCTAATGCCACTTCTTCAAAATAGATTTGCCCAGGCCATGGTATTTTGTGGAAGAGCCACACTCAAGGGGCCAAAGAGCCACATGTGGTTTGAGAGCCGCAGTTTGCCAGCCACAGGTCTAGGTAAACTGTCACCCCATGTATCCATTCTATAAAATTATGTATCGCACTGAACACTTGGATTATCATCGAATCATCAGGCCTACTGGCATCTAAAAACAATTCTCTCCCTTCCCATGAGCATCTGTCCCCTCAGCCATCACAGCGTCTCCCGGTCCTTGCTTATGTGCCATCATTTCAGTCCTCCACATGCCTGGTCAACCCCCCCCCCCCCATTTTGACTGCCTCTTCCTCTTGAGGGTATCTGAGTTGTAACAAGAGCCATGTGAGCTCAGCCCTTGACCTTGGTAGAAAGGCCCCAGTACAACCATCCTTTGTAGGCCACACAGTAGGTCAGGAGGTTAGGTACATCAGGAGGACCTAAGCCTTTTGAGTCATCCCAGCACTGGGATATCAGCAACATCATCATTTATCTAGAAAGTCTACCACCCTTCTCCCAAGATAGCCTGCTGCTGAGTGGTACCTTCAGATGTGCTTGACCTCAGAGTCCCCCACATGCATCTTCCACGTGGGTGTCCCATCCGGTCACCTGGTGTGGCCTGCACTAAAAATTCCCATGAGGCCGCCGGTATATCCAACCTTGTGATGGGAATGTCATTTTGGTCAAAATACAGGCTCTTCCTTAGCCACCCAGCTCAAGGGACAGTGATTCTGTAACCTTTAGTGAGATAATGTAATGCTTGTTCCCCTGCATTCACGTGTAATATCTAAGTAGGGCTTCACAGGAGAACAGTGTGTGTGTGTGTGCTTATCTGTTAGCAATATTAGGACTCAGAATGATTCATGTGCCCCACAGATTCCACTGTGTCTGGCTCTGAGCTTGGTCATGTAGTACGAAGATAAATAAGGCACCTTTTATCAGATACGATGGAGCGAGTGGGAGAGCAATTATCCGCCCCAGTTAGGAAAGCCATGGCATTTAAGCGTTGCCAGCTTCTTCCAGACATTTGCTATCTGATGTTATCTTTGGGGCCTACCTCCCTTTGGGCCTGTGACGTTGCCACCATCACAGTGAAGCTTTGACATCCTGTGACCTACCCAGGGCTCCTTCTCTTTAGGTGGCACCAGTGAAATAAAGAAGTTTTAACAAACATCCAGGTAAACATTCAGGTGAATGTTTATTAAAGAGTCACAATCTCATAACTTGAGCTCTGATCTCAGGTGAGAAGTTTGGCCAACTTTCACTTCTGCGGTCTTAGGCAAGTCATTTGACCTTTCTGTGGCAAACCATCTTCGTATTAAAACTGAGAACTGAAGTATGGACCACATTGGGCCGTTGTGAGAACAACAGAACGTGTTGGTGGCAAAAGAATTGGCTCTAGTTACACAGAACAACAGTTAAAACTGCTTACGGGAAGGCCTGCTCCAGATTCTGCTGTAACTGTTAGTCTATTTTTTATCCTGCAGGCATTACCCCAGCACACAACCCCCCACACTCAAATGACAATCTTGCCTTTCTCATCTCTTAAAATGCAATCTTTAATTTGCTTCACATTTTTTTCTCCAAACATATGTTATTTCAACTGTGTCCACACACTTTTAAAGCAGACGTTGTCTACAAGGGTTAGACTTGGAAGACCTGGTTGTGTATTCTGTCTCTTCTTAGTAGGATTCGCATCAGCTGGCTTCCGCTATCCCCACCTGCAAAGAGTAAGGACATGTTGATGACAATGACGGCGAGACAAGGACATCCACCTTGCAAGCTCCTTAGGAAGGAGGTAAGACTATGATGTGATAATGGTTACAGTGTTTGAACTGGAAAGTTCCAGTTCATTTTATTGGTTCAAGATGGCTGATGAGACTGTGCCCACCAATGTCAAGCGAGGACACTTTCAAAGGAATGAGCACCTGTACACCCAAATCTGGGCCAGCTTCAAGATGAAGCGCCCATCAGCCCTCTAGACCAGATCTGAGGAAACACATTGATTTTTATCCTACAGGAGTGGGCAAAAGTAGGTTTACAGTAGCAAGGATGCAAAAGTTTATTCTTGTCATTATTAATTATTTTTACGATAAATTACCATATGAAGAACTGTAGACCTACTTTTGCCCACCCCTGTGTCCACCTGCAACAAGAGTACATTCCACAGTGGGAAGGCCCTCAGTGCTTATAGATTATTGTGGTCGGCAAACTGCGGCTTGTGAGCCACTTGCAGCTGGCGAGCCGCAGTTTGCCACTCTGTTGACTAATGTGTTTGCCGACCACTGACCTAGACTCTTGATTCCAATAATTAAAGGTTGTTGTTCCTTGTGATTAAGCCCCTATCCCGGTGGTCGGCAAACTCATGTTTGCTGACCACTAGTAGTGGGACGATATTCTGTGATTTACTTTTAAAGCCTTCTTATAATTAGACAGTTATTGAGACTCAGAGACAATGTATTCTCACCCAGACTAAAGGTAGACCATGAGCTCAGATTTCCAGCTCCCCAGGCTGATGCTCCATGAGTGTCATGGAACTGTCCCATAAATAAGTCACCTTCACCCTGCCACGGATTCTTTCATATTTCAAACTGGGTTGCCTGGGACTTGGTAAGGTAATTTGCTCAGGGTACTAGGTGGGCAATAAGAGGCCCAACATCTTCACCTCTGTGTGGCTCACTGTAATGGACAGATACCCCTCCATCCCTCCACCAAAGAATAGTAAAGTTCTTAAGAGCTGTCTTAAGTCTCCTTTGCCTAGTACAGTGGTCGGCAAACTCATTAGTCAGCAGAGCCAAATATCAACAGTACAACGATTAAAATTTCTTTTGAGAGCCAAATTTTTAAAACCTTTTCAAGCCGAAGCCGGTATGGATCAGTGGATAGAGCGTCAGCCTGCGGGTTCAAGGATCCCAGGTTCGATTCCGGTCAAGGGCATGTACCTTGGTTGCAGACACATCCCCGGTGGAGGGTGTGCAGGAGGCAGCTGGTCGATGTTTCTAACTCTCTCTTCCTCTCTGTAAAAAAATCAATAAAATATATTAAAAAAAAACACACACACACACACAAACACTTTTTCAAAACAGACTCTCCCAGGACATGGTATTTTGTGGAAGAGCCACACTCCAGGGGCCAAAGAGCCGCATGTGGCTCACGAGGCACAGTTTGCCGACCATGGGCCTAGTGGAAAAAAATGGGGCATCTATTAAAGAGCCCCTGGGGTGTCTCACGAAATTGACCTGACAGTTGAACAGCCAAAACTAGGCAAAGGAGATAAGAGGCTCTTGGGATTTCCCTAGATGCCCAAGGCCATAAAACTACTCTAAAGCAATGCTGCCCAATGTCCTTAAGTCCCTCAGTCGCACTGGCCACATGTGGCGATGCTACTGGGCAGTTGATGCTCTAGAAGTCCCATTGCAGAGCACCATTCCAGATGGAGGCTCTTTGAGTGCCTCTCTCCAGAGAACAATCAGACTCTGTGTCTGTATTCTGGACAATCAGCTGTGATCCTGGAGGGCAGAATCATTTGGCACAGGCCTGGCCTGGCTGTCTCCTTGACAGGGATAGGGATACAAGGAGTCCTTCTCAGAAAAGGGGTGTATGGTTCTCTAAACAGCATTATTTTACCTCCTAGAATTTTCCCGTTCAGCCTTCAGGACGCTGCCAGCAACCTGGGATGATGAATTAGATGAGGGATGGAGAGAAAAGCTCCACCTAGGACTACAGAACAAGTGAGTGACAACCCACTTCCTGTCTCTTGTTTGTTATGTGCACATTCCTTGGTTTAAAATCGAATGTATTGGGAAGGGTACTTACATTTGTTTCCTCGTGGTTCATTTTGGACCATGTTTTTGACACATCAACCCTCTGTAAGAAGTCCCACTGGGCATGTTAATAAGAACAAAAGCCCAAACCAGACAGCACTTTCTTCATCCTGTAGTAGAGCCTAAAGTAGCTTGGGCTGTGTATGCCAAGAGCGTTTACACCAATATCAAAGAAACTGAAGGCACAAACCTAATTATTGCAGTCATTTTTACATAACCTGGCCAGGTGACATAATCCCTGGAACATCTGTTTACCCCTAGGAGTGGTATCTTCAGGACGAATCTGTCATTGGTATTTGCGCCCATAAGATCGACCATCAAGAGATCCTTGAATCGGGTTGCTGTGCTTGCATGTCTAGGTAAGTGGCCTGCGGGATTTACAGCATTTCCTAATGTTCCCCACACTTTCCAGCAACTGCCACCTCATTCTCAAGTTCCAGAGGGGTTCCTCTGAGAGGCTGTTACAAAGGCAGGTTCTCGGGACTCATCCCAGACCTCTGGACCAGCTCCTGTGCAGTGGAACCTCGTTTCCCAAACGTCATTAGTTCAGGAAGGCTGTTTGAAAACCGAATCACCTTTTCCCATTAGTAATAATGTAAGCTGAATTCATCCATTCCAAATCCCCAAATGACTGTTTTAACCTTATTCTATACAGTACATGTCTAATGTACTGTTTAATTTATACATCAACACTTTAAGAACAATTATAACCAGAGAAAAACAAATATTCACAGTACACTATCCTGAGATGTTAACAGTGGTAAACCGAGTCCTATTCATGCATCCTCTCCTGTCACCTGAGAGAGGCATCAGCATGAAAGGGCTGTCAGGTTGAGAAGTGAATTATTTGAGACAGGAGCCATTCGAGAAACTAGGTTCCACTGTATTTTAAGGAGATCTTCAGACGATTCCTGTGAACACCACAACTAGATGCCTAGGGGACATGTCAGCCCAGAGAAGCTCATCCACCCCTGTCTGCTAGCCTTCTCTGCCCATAATGGCGGTGGCTTCAAATGGAAATGCGGGAGACCTGGCTCTCTCAAATAAAAGGGAAATCTGCCTCCCTGTTCCTGTGCCTTATTTTATTGTCGAACACGGAGAATCCTGTTAATTAACAGGGAAAACAAGATTACTTTAAATCAGTGTTTTCCAAACTTCTCTCATGATGAGAATCACCTGGTGGAGTTGTTAAAATACAGATTCCTGAATCCCAACTAAGAAGTGCTAAACTAGAATTTTTGGGAACATAGGTAAAATTGTATACTTAACTAGTGCTCTAAGCTTAGAGCACGAGGTGATTCTCATCATGAGAGAAGTTTGGGAAACACTGTCTAAATGACCGAATGCAGGTTCATTCTGGCGCTGACACACCAGCCACGCCAGAAATGATAGCTTTCTGAAGGCTTCCTATTGCCCCACAAAGGAAGTCATTCTTGAAGGGAAAAAAAAAAAAAAATATCACAGCCCTCATAGAATCGTGTTTCGACTGCACTCACCCATTCCGTCAGAGTTCCATCCTGGCCACAATTAAAATATATAATAGCTGCTCCGTGCACCAAGAATTCCCCACCTCAAACCCCTTCTCCAACTGAAATGGTGATAGGTTCTTCATGCACACATCACATACTTATAGAAGCACACAGGGAGAGACCAAGCTGGAATTCTGTCACAAATCCCTCAGCTCTGAGCACAAGCCTCTTTTCAAAAATATCAACATTTCCTTGATCAAGAGGAAAGATTGGAAGCTGAGAAAAAAAATAGCTCATCCTAGCCCTATGTATTTAGCTCCTGTTCTTCCTATCAGCTATTTTTTTTTAAAGCAAAAAAAACCCACAAGCCATACCTAACAGCATAATTTTACGTGTAAATTCTGCACATCATGACATTGGGGACTGTTCATTCCTTTGCATACTTTCTCGATCCCGCTCATGTTTTTAATTTGGGTTCAGAAAGGGAAGAACTCGGCCCCAGGAACCACCCTGGGGGCTTCTGGGGTTGGTGTGTTCCAGCTCCTGTCCATCAACCACTTCTGCTGGGACAGAAACCAGCCCATTGCTGTTCGCCAAGTTATAGGGAGGAAGGAAAGGCCTGGGGTCACACGACCCCATCCCAAACCCCTACACCAGGCAAGTCTGACACCTTCAGTTCTTCTCTGGGAAAGCACAGGGTGGGGCTCAGAGAAGGGACTCTGCCTGGGTGGCCCCTGTCTCAATGTTCCCATCCGGGAAAGTGCTGGCCTCCAGGAGCACATCACCCCAGGCTGCCCGGAAGGCAGAGCTTTGGTCAATGGTGTTATAACCGAGATGCCGTGCATGGAACTCCATTACTTAAGGTGTAAACTTGAAGTTCTAGGCCAGTGGTCGGAAAACTCATTGGTCAACAGAGCCAAATATCAACAGTACAATTTCTTTTGAGAGCCACATTTTTTAAACTTCAACTTCTTCTAATGCCACTTCTTCAAAATAGACTCGCCCAGGCCATAGTATTTTGTGGAAGAGCCACACTCAAGGGGCCAAAGAGCCCATGTGTCTCATGAGCCGCAGTTTGCCAACCACTGTTCTAGGCTGTGGAATTCCTTTTAAACACACACACACACACACACACACACACACACACACACGTGCAGCCCACCTGACCGCTAAGACATTGTGAGACCTTCAGAGCAAATCCCCACAAATGGAAGTTGCTCTTCAATTATTCAAAAATATGACAAAACCTATCAGCCTTGCCCAGGTCTGAGTCGCCCGGGGACCCCAGCAGCAGTTGCCCAGGTCTCCTCGGCAGCCTAGCCAGGCTGTACCCTCCTGCGGGGCTCTGTGCCAGCCTGTGGCATGCTGGGAAGACAAGGGAACCCCTTCCCAATACATACACACGTTCACATACTCACCCCCAGTATTTAAGCAGCAGACTAAGATGACAGATCGTTAAGCCACTCTCCATGCCCCTGCTCTGGAATCACAAAGCTTAGCCTGTTCACCCACTGCTCTCAACCAGTGACGGCGTTGTTCCTGGTGATGGGTGAAACCCTGCATTCTCCTCCTTCCATCCTTTCCATCCCTCTATTCTTAGCACTTGGTCTCCACCGACCCTACAGTGGACACTGGGGTGACAAAGGACACCAGCAGCCTTCCTCTGAGAGAGACGCCTCCTTGACCTCATGTGAGATGCTAAAAATAGTAGCTGGGTGGCCACGCTCTGTAGAGATATAATCATGGACTATCGGAGGGCCCCACGTGGAGACAGGCAGAGGTTGGTGCAGGAGGCTGTCCTCGAAAAGTGAGTCCTAAGGTCACTGATGAAAGGGAGGGGGAAACAGCACAAGTAGGGGGGACAGCAGGGGCAGAGCGGTCTGGGGAAGGAATTGCTCAGCCACAGGAGGCAGTGATGGGGTGGCGGACCACATCCCACAGAAGAGCAAGGTGGGACCACTTGTAGGATCCTGAGTGTCCTCTGGCTCTGCCTCCCACACCTGAGCAGGTGTCCTGAAGGAGGAACTGGACAGGGGGACCCCGTCTGCCTCTGAGAGAAGGGCACCCCCAGGCTTCCCCTCCCAGTCAGTAACACAGGCCTGATGCTGACGTGCACGTGTTCCGTAGTGGAAGCTCCCGGAGCAGACCATCTGCAGTGTGCTCTGAGCGAGCGTGAAAGAGCAGCTGACAGTTTGGGGTCATGGGCACCATCCCCGGGAGGGAGATGCAAGCAGTGTGACATGAGAAGCCCGAGGAAGAGGTGAGTCCAGAGGAGAGAAGGAGTGGGGTTCGCCCCACCAGGATGAAGGTCGCACTATTTGGGGGTGACAGGACAGAGGCGGCAGTGGGAGAAGGGACTGTGGCCTCCCCTTGCCCACCAGGAAGGCTTAGGAGAGTGAGCCAGGATGGGGGTCCCCAGTAGAGGTCGCCCGCCTGGTTTCAGAGGAAATGAGACAGAAGTACAAGCTGAGGCCCAGGAAAGAGGAGAGCGAGGACAGCGGTCAGGCACCAAGCAGCCAGGTCCCTGAAACACGCTGACGGAACTACATGTCCGGGCGGGGGGCCGGGGAGACCACCTATGCATCACTTAGGGGTTGTCTCCTTAGTGCCAGCACCCACTGTGCCTGGGGGAGCCCCCTGTTTCTAATATGGGGGGGCCCATATTCATGCCTTCTCTGTTCAAACCTCGAGCCCACATGGGCTCTGACAACAAGGACCTTCAAGCCCACCTCCCAGGAGGGGGGGCTGGACCAACACCACAGCACCAGGTCTGCTGGGCCAGGCCTTGAGGGAGAAGAGCCCACAAGGGGGCGATAATGTCGCTGTGTGCCCGAAGCCATACTGACTGACTCAATTTCCCTACTGCTGAGCCCACCTCTGTTCTAGCTGGAGCCAGTCTCCCCCAGGGATAGCAAAACTCATGCCCTTGCAGAAACCAGTTTGGCTCAGTGGACAGAGTGTCGGCCTGCGGACTAAAGGATCCCGGGTTCGATTCCGGTCAAGGGCATGTACCTTGGTTGCAGGCACATCCCCCAGTAGGGCATGTGCAGGAGGCAGCTGATCGATGATTCTCTCTCATCGATGTTTCTAACTCTCTATTCCTCTCTCTTCCTCTCTCTAAAAAATCAATAAAATATATTTTTAAAAAAAGAAAAAATAAATTCATGCCCTGGTGGCCTCATCCAAGCCTTTTGCTCCTGGGACTCCAATCTGGCACCCAAACATGTGACTGGGTGGGTACGTTGTGTCCTAGTCCCGAACAAGCCTGATTTCCCTCTGCCAGCAGCCTGCCAATGGGGAGACTCCCCAGGCCTCCCCCGGATGCAGCGCTGTGCTAGTCCGAGTCTGTTCCCCGCCTCCTTGGCTCCCATCTCCATCACAGGGTCTGTCATCCTCCCAAGTTCCATCATGCATCAGAGCTTGCACTTTCTGGTCCTCATCCACCTCACTGACAAGGACCAACTTAGTCCCTTCCCCTGTGACCAATTTCAGAGCCCCTACCACCCACACAGAGAACTCTATAGGACACCAAGACCATGCTCCCAGCTGCCTCCAGGAGGCAAAAGGCAGGAGAGGGGTAAAGGCCCCATTCAGAAACATCCTGGCTAAAGGCTGCCTCTCACATGTACTGTTGTAAGACGGAATGGTTTCCTTGCATGTGAAAACAATGTCATGAGAGCTACTTAACTTCTTAGCATGACATGTGATGGCCTACTGTGTGCAGCCTGTGTCATCCCTGGGAAGTAGGGGTTCTTCTCACCTCACAAAGGAGGACAGGAGACCTGAACAAGAGCACGCGGGGGACACCGCCAGCACCAGGCCTGGGTCTGGACATGCGCAGAGTGGTGTTCTCTTCTGCCTCACAGCTTCCTCCCTCTGTGTCTCTCAGGCCCAAAT